GAGGCGTCTGCTGGTTTTGGCCCCTGGGGTGATGCTGGTAGCCCCCTACTCAGCTCTGGGATGCTGGTGGGTTAAGTGGGGTGAGATGCCAGGGGTGCAGGCAAAAGTGGTCCTGGGCATGCAGGGGAGCTGAACCTGGGAGCGTGTACCTTGGGATGGGTGCGTCGTGAGTCTGGGCGCCCTCCTGTATAGGCACAAGTGGGGAGGTTGTTAATTTTACAGTTCTCTGACTTAGACCTTGCACTGGCAGATGATGCCAGGAGACTGGCTGGCCTGCAGAAGGTGGGATCCTGCGAGCACCTCAGGAGCTGCATTGCTGTGGTGTTGAGCTCAAAGGCTCCACAGAGGATGCCTACGTTGGTAGCCAGGGATAAACCATCCCTTCCTCATTGATATGGAAAAATCTGAAAGGAATGCAACAAATCTGCCCGAAATTTTGCTTGGTGTGCTGGCTCCCTGAGATGTCCTGAGCCTGTCTGTGAGGGTACTGCTGGCAAGCTGGGGGGTGGTGAAGGTTCCCCCCCCTCCATGGACTGCTTTGAACAGTAACGTAGAAAATGTCAGGGAGGATCACTGAGCCGGGAATGTTAGTATGAAGTGGAAAACTTTCAGGGGGCTTTTCAGCTCCTTGGCACAGTAATGCTATAAATCATCCGTAAAGTGCTTTTCCAGCAGATGTGGCTGTACAATGTGTGATGCATCTGACAGCAGACATCTGCCCGGGCTGCACCAACAACGCGCTCTGTTTTTCCTATCGTGTTGGTTCACCTCACTCATCTGATGGAGATGAAGTTCCCCTGAACCCTGGCTTCCCCTTGGTGGCTGTGCTTCCCAACTGCGCGCCCTCCATTCCGTACACCATGGCAGGGATGGTGAGCAGACCGAGGGCTGCTGCGGCCACTGGCCCGGGGGGAGGCAGGGCTGGTGCGTGGCTTCCAGCCTTGGAGGAATCTGAAGATTAAACTTCAGTTATGAGAATTTAACTTGGCTCAAATTGAATTGGGTTGTGCGTTGTATCCAAAAAAGGAACAGGGTTGTTCAGCCTGGAGAAGGGAAGGCTCCAGGGAGACCTTATAGTGGCCTTCCAGTATCTGAAGGGGGCCTACAAAAAAGATGGAGAGGGACTTTTTACAAGGCTGTCCTTGTACAAGGGGTAATGGCTTCAAACTGAAGGAGGGGAGATTTAGATCAGATATCAGGAAGAAATTTGTCACTATGAGGGTGGTGAGACACTGGAACAGGCTGCCCAGAGAAGTTGTGGCTGCCCCATCCCTGGAGGGGTTCAAGACCAGGCTGGATGGGGCTTTGAGCAAGCTGGTCTGGTGGGAGGTGTCCCTGCCCATGGCAGGGGGGTTGGAACTGGATGATCTTTAAGGTCCCTTCCAACTCTAACCTTTCTGTGATTCTATGCCTTACCATCCAGAGTTAAAGACCCTAGCTGATTGCATGCCTCTGGGCAAAGGGATGGCATTGTGAGGGCAAGGGAGTGATGAAGTCAAGGAGAAGCTGCAAACACAAGGCACAAAACTGTCCCTGTTTCCTTGCAGGCCCTGCCTGCAGGAGAGCTGCCACCACGTGGCATTGGGGAAACACGAAAGGGTGAGGAAAGGCTCTTTCTAAATCTTTGCTGTTGCCAAAAAATCATGTGATCTGGCTGCGTAGCATTTGTTTTTCTTGGCAAACTTGTAGAGGAGCCAAGAAAATGAATGGGTAGGATTTTCCTCCTACCTGCCCTGGTTTAGTGTGCTTCCTTGTCCAAGTGAAAATGAAGTGGCCCTGGGGGCAGCATGGGAAAACTTAATTGTGAGCACAGTACTGCCGACAGCAAAGAACTGGAGACAGCGAAGGACTTTGGTGGGTAGAAGGGAGAGAGTTGTGTCCTGCTGATTGCCAGATGTGCTGTGGGGACTTAACCAGCTCCTCCGTCACGAGCAGCGTTTCAAAGGTGGCTACCAGAGAGCTCGCTGCAGCAGCCTGCTCCTCGCCTGCTGCCTTTCAAAGGCATTGTACGGCCCTTAGCAAATTTTCATAACAACTTTCCTGTTTGAATAAAGAAAAAAAGCAGGCCAAGATTTCAGAAATTGCGTATGACATACTCTGAAAATTGCTGTATCTTCTCCATGTCCGTTGCTTTGTGATCTTTGAATGGTTCCAGAAATAACTTGAAAGAGATGCGTAGCTCGATTATTGCCAGCACGAGTAGCTATTGATCTAAATGACTGCTTGGAAAGAAAGGAAGATGGAGAAGCCACACTCTGCTGTCCACATGTTCAGACCTTCTGTCTCATTCTGCTTGAGCTAATGGGGAAAGACACGTATCATGACGTGGCAACAAAGAAATTCCTCTGCCCGCTTTGAAGTTATTAGATGCTTTTACATATTAAAGAAAAGTCATTAAAATACATAAAACATATGGATTTAAATATATTTTACTAACTAAACCAGCTCATATCCCACAAAACACCCCAACAGCAGCTCCTAATCCTTTGGTTTGCCCTTGACAAAATTTAGAAAAAACCTTGGGGCCACTCTGAATTGCTGTGGCTTTGCCAAAAATCCTTTTAAGTAGCCAGGAAAACCAGTAGCTGGTTGGCTGCTCCAGCGATTCTTCCTTTTTGCTGGCACCATCCTGCAGTAGATGTCACAGGAGGCTGGGAGAGGGACCTGTCCCCTCTGTCGTGCCCCTGGGAGGAGGAGCACCAGCCTCCTGTCCACACCTTGGGCCAGCACCAGGTGGCTTCAAAATGCCCTTGCTCCCTTCTCTTAGATCTCATCCTGTGTCGAATATTGAGATTGTTTTCAGCCGTTAGCTGCCACATCTGTGCTTAATTAAAGTTTGATACTATGGCCATTTTCTAGAGGTGATGTAGCTGGTTCACTGGCTTTGACAATTTCCTTTTCTGGACTTTAATCAGATGTTGTGTTGAAAAGTAGGTTTCTTACAAGCAGCTGTGGTTTAGTTTCCTTTTTGTTTTGGTATGGGTTGGATTTTTTTTGTTGTTTGTTTTTTAAAGGGGATTTTTTGTGCTCTGCCTCTCAGTCTTTACCATCTCCCTTTTTTTGTGCTACTGGACTGGTGTAACAGGGTGGGGGGGATCTTCTGCTGTAAGTTTAAAATGTGTACATGAAATATATTTATTATGGTTGCTTTTACCAAAAGTGATTTCAAAATTCCAGCATGAAACTTTCAAATATGGACTTGCCCCAAACTGACAGTTAACTTTATGAATGTGTAGATTAGAATAAAAACTCATTTGCCTTGGGGAGAATCTGAGACGAGACGGCAAAGTACCTTCTCTGATTTGTGTCAGAGAAAAACACAGTACAGAATAAATACATATTTTCCAGGAGTAATATATCATATGTGATGAGAGGCTGCATTTCATTTGCTGGACATATATACAGCGATACAGTTCAACTTGCAAAGCTGGGCAGCTAATCCAGCTTTCTTCTGACAATAGGCATTTTGGAAATCTCTCTGGACTGGGGTTTTCTGTCCACCCAGCCAAAAGAAGTTGGCACGTGCTGTGGGTAGCTCAGGGGTGGCCAAAGAGGAGCTGTGCTGAAGCGATGCACAGAGGTGTGAGTACTGATACGGCCAAGGTGCTGCCTGCTTTCAGCATAGATAAAAACACATTTTAAAAATTATACATGAAAACGATGCCATGGGATTGGATCCAACATCCATTGCTAGGACAAAAGAGAAAAGGCGTTTGCAAATGGATGTGTATTTTTTTCTATTTCTCCAGCTGTGCTGTGAGCCCACTAGATGCAGGCAGTTGCTGACCACAGGCTGGTTAAGAGATAGATCAGGACAGCACAAAGGCAACATGTGTGGGGTGACGTGCCCGTGTCAGTATTGCAGGCAGATCTAAACCAGGCCTATCCGAAAGCTCTGCGACGTCATTTTTTGGTGTGGATTTGGAGGTGAAGGGGAAATAAACCCATGGTGGGCTTCTTCCATTATTTAGCCTGACCAGGTATCAGTAGAGTCATCAGGCGATGATCTACTTCGCAGACGGTTACAGAAATACTCTCTTTTCTGACTACAGTACTACACAAAGCTGTTTAGAATTGAAATTTCTGATATTGGTGGATCCTAGAAGTTGAGCAGAGGGTTTGCAGCCAGAAACATAAGATTTGCTTGTGCATCAGGTTTGGGTGGGTAGCCTGGCCCTTTCCCAGTTGAACTGGACATCGTGCCATGGCTCACAAAGGCCTTGCAGGGATTAGATTTGGTTTGTGCAGGACTTCACAGTTCTGGGGGTTTTATCATTATTTGTACTCCATTCTGCATGAAATACAGATTAGCTTGAATCATGTTTCTATGTAAGCCTAAAGGATTTATGAGCTGCAAATTGCACACAAGTGATTGTGCTGTTGGGAATCTGGAGCCACAGGACTCCTGCACCCACCCATCTCGTCTATGTATGTGGCACACACCTGCCATCTGCAAAGCTGCCTTTAGAAAAATTATTCTTATGTCACTTATTTAACATTGATACTAGATATTTTGGGGAAATGTGGACATCTATGTATGTGGCAACACGCCTGCCATCTGCAAAGCTGCCTTTAAAAAAATAATGATTATTATTATGTTACTTATTTAACGTTGATACTAGATATTTTGGGGAAATGTGGACAGTTCAAGGAGGTGCAGGTATGGAAAGTACAACATATCTCAGGCATATAATTATGAACTCCAGGGATCTCTCGTGTGAGTTTTTAACTGGGCATATTTCACTGACAAAAAATCCCAGCAGTGCAAAATTAGATCCATTGAGAGCTTGATTAATTTTGATTTTTTTGTTTGGTTTGGTTTGTTTTCCCTGCATCTGTTCAAATCTATGGATTTAGCTGCACTTTATATGTTAAGTATATGGGACAAACCTGAAAGAATCCAGCTGTAATCATATTTCCAAATATTTTAAACCAATAATGATTTCATATCTGTGTACAAGACATTTTGTGTGAGATTAGATATGAGCCCAAAACAGTAATCGGATCCATAACGGCTTTTAATAAACAGAATTTTGAATAAACGTTTTTTAGAAAAGTACAGAATAAAAGCAGAAAATATCTCTTCCCTATTAACCATTGGTATAAATCCCAAGGTGCCTTGTTTTAATGTTACAAATTGCAGTTAGCACGAAATTGTTATGTGGAAAATATCACAGTTAAAACACAGTACTGCTGGTGTCTTACAGAATATAGGTATTAACCTTTCCTTATCTTTTCCTCCTTTTATAGCAAAGGCAAAAATTACTCTCATGTTTCCAAAATTAAAGGAAGCACTGAGAAATCAAATTGCTGCTAAAAGCCAGTTTTGTTACGCTACATCTTAATGTCAAAACTTTGATGCAAACATTTCACTACTTGCTAAAGAGGAATGGATTCGAAGCACACTATGGCAGGTCATGACTGAGCCTAATTTAGTTTTATTTGATTATTCAGCTGAGATATCTCTTGACTGTAAATGATAAGTAGAAACTATGGAAGTGTTTCCAAGCCAATGTTCGGTTATCACTGATGTTGGGATATTTTGTGTTAAGAAATGTAATTCTACAGTTATTGAATTCTGTAGTTCTCTTATTTTAGCCTACTAAGAAGAGACTAGGATTTATTTGACTTTCAAGGAATAGTTTGAAAATAAAGAGCTGAACAGAGCAGATCTGGGGGTGGAGGTGTGATTATTTTGCCAGACTCAACATGGGTGAGAGCATGCCCTGTTAACGCTGCAGCTAGAAGGACAGTGAAAAATAAACTCAGTGGACATATTGTCAGGTATAAAAACAAGCATTTTAAATTTTTTTCCCTTTCAATTTGGCATCTGAATATAGGGGGGAAAAAAACACTACTTGAGCTGCAGTAATTTTTACATAGTGTGATCTCTATTCAGAACACAATCTAGAGGAAAACGCCCTGCAGACCAAGTCCATTGGGGGTCTGCTCTCATATTTGGTGTAAAAAAACCAGGATCTGAGATCAGTCACCACTTCTCTGTCAGGTGCAGAGTCAATGAACACTTCTTGTGCTTTGTGATTTCTAGCTGCAGAGCAGCAACAGCGTTCCTCTCCCTGACTTCACTCAAAAGCCTGTCTGCCCTGCAGATCTTAATTTCACCTGTGCAGAGCATCTGCTGGGATTTCTGACCCTATCTGCGACCTCTACACTGGGATTTATTTCTATTCCTAATGCAGAGGAAAATTAATAGGACGTGTTCTCTGGAAGCTTTATGGTTTCTGAGCTTATGGACTTAGAAATGTAGGAAAAATTATTGGTGGCAGTGATAGTCATCACAAGTACAGCGGGATATACAGCACACAGCGTCTGTTGAGTGAGATCTTGTATTAAAGTGGAGTTCTACCTAGAAAGGTGTGTATATCAAAACAACTCCGCGGCAGTGAGTTGCTATTTTGATAATGAGTTTTAGTTATGATTTATGCAATAAAAACGTCTCCCTTAAAATAGAGGAAGGTGCTGTTCCTAACAAATCTTAACTAAATAATACTTATAAGCCCTTTTTTGATGCTCCCTTCCCAGCTCTCTAATGAGGGCAGGTATATTTGTAGAGAAAAATGAAGGAATTGTGATTCCCAGTCAGTCCAGTAGAGTGATAATCTTTCAAGCCATTTTGCGCACTGATTTTAACAAGCAAATACACTGACAGAGGTAGCAAGGCATTTTATAGATTCAAAGATCAGGGCACAGATAAATTGTTAGGAACAAGAGGTTTCTTAGTTTATGGAACTCAAAAATATATTTGTGATGTTAGTTTCTGAAAAGAAAACACTATTTTTAAGGGGTTTGGTGGTTTGTTTGTATTTTTTTTTTTTTTGAGGTTAGATAATCCAGGTTTGGCTCATTTTAGTCAGCAGAAAGCTCAGTCCCTATTCAGGACCCTCTTCCTGAGGAGCCGGAGCCTGGACATGACCACATCCCAGTCTGCGTAGGCCCCTTCCAGGTGACGACTCACTTCTGGTCCCGATGGGTAGCTTTGGCGACCGTGAAGCACGCGCCAGTTGTCAAACGTCACTATGTCTCCTATAAAGAGATTTCACAAAGTTAAATATTTGGTACATTACAGTTGATTCCTTCAAACAGATAACATGGAGGTAGATGTACATCAACAGTCAGGGAGCAATAATTTCATGTAGCTCGGCTGGAGACACACATCAATGACACAGTACTTTTAATTTAGCTGGTCAATCTCAACCAGAGAGGGCAGGTCCCTTCAGACCTCTGCTGCTTTTCTTGTATAACCAGGAATTAAAAAGCAGAGTGGGAGGGGAGTCCACACTGAGAAATGCAGGCCTTGAAGGGAAAGGTGACTACAGCAAATTCACTGGAAGGATAAAAAGGGTGAAAGCCACTAGGATGATTTTTATTTGATCAGACTGGTACTATTTGTAGTATACACATTCTGCATTACTACCCCTGTTAAGAGAATTCTATGAAAACAAAGTTAAGCCATTGAAAGTTAGGAAATCATGTAATTAAGGCTAGCATACCATTTTAATTCTCCTCCCTTGTGTGCCACCACTATGATAAATCTCTAATTAAATAACCTTCTAGTCTTTCTTTCCTTCTCTCCCTCCCCTCTACCATCATTTCGGTGTGTTAATTGATGGAATGGATGGTGCTAATGTAATGTGAGGTACTTTGTTTTACCATTTATTATGCGGTCTTGTAAATTATTTTATTGCACATTCCCAATAGAGAGACATTCATTTCCTCATAGACGTTTTAAGGACACTAGCATCATGGTACATGAGGCAGATACACTAATGAATTTACTTTTGTAGCATCTCTTGAGAGATGAGGGACTATTCATACCTTCATTTTATAGCTGGGGAATGGAAGAACAGAGATTAAGGCCAAAGCAGTTAAATATATGCATGGACTGACTTTTAAAAAGTAAAGGGCATTTTTGCAGCGTGTTTTATGTTCAGAACACAGCCCTGTGCAACTCTAGATGAAGTTTAGAGCATTTAGGGCTTCTGCAAATCTGCAAATCAATTTTTTTTTTTTCTTTATAGTGTAACTATGGCAAAATAAATCCATGAGATGAATGTAAGGATGCAGTATGAAATCAAATAGGTGATAGAAGGTCTGAGGTTTCCTCTCCCTACCAGTGCTAACAAAGTTTAAGTGTTTTGACTGTTAGGAAAAACATGTGAAAAATCCCTGCGAGGAGAAGCAGCTTACTGACCTGGTTTCAGCTTGTAAGTAAACTTGTGTTCAGCGCTGTTTAATAAATCATTAAATTCCTTTAGAGCTGCATAAAACGGCCTCACGTTTTCAGCTGGTATGTCAAACACTGTGTCTCTTGTTGCGTTATTATAATTGATACGAACTGCCTGGCCTCTGGAATCCACACTGTGAAACAGAGAAGGAAAGGAAAAGGAATGTGATATGTTGTTGCTGAAACATTTTAAGATGGTTAAACAACAACTGAACTCTCCTGCTGGAATTTCAGTATGTTTCTACAGTGATTGTTATTAGATTCTTCTAATTGGATTAATTAGATTGTTCTAATTGGATGTGATTAGATCTTCTAATTAATTGAGATTGTTATTAGGTTGGATTTTGATAATTAAGCCTAACTAGGAAAAGGGATGATGAGGAGAAAGTGTAGACACTTTATTTCCTCCAACATCAATATTAGGTACACTTTAATTGTAGACTCCTTAAATTCAGAAGAGATTATGATCATTTGCATTTGATCTTTTAAGAATATATAGTTTTTAATCTAAATGCTTCAAATCATGACCTGTCTTTGGCACAAAACAGAGGTACATTGGCTGGAATTTACATTAGCTGCTGTTTACCTGTGTCTGTACCTGGCAGCTGCTCTAATTCCCACCACCTCTTGGTGGTGTGTGGCAAAACAAAATAAGGAAAACTATGGTGTGTTGGTACAGAGCACAGAACAATCCACTCGCTGGCAAACACCCCTCCCCAAACCCCCCCAAGATAACTACAGACCAAGTTAAACCGGTCTTTCCCCACAAGGTGGCAGGAGCAGACCTTCTCCTACCAACATGTAATCCACCGTACAACAGGGATTTTAGTTTTCGATGTTGTTGAAACCACTCACTCTATAATCTTTTGTTTACATTGCACAGCAAAATCACAGTAGTCCACCCCAACATCTGTATAGTCCACAGCAGTAGAGGACAGGATCTGGTACGCCTGAGGATTCTGTTTCTTCAGCTTGTTGGATACATGAAATCCATCTACAACTTCACTTTCTCCTCCTGCAGCTGTTTGCTTTATACAATGGAGAAGCTGAACCTGGAATGAATTAACATCTCATTACAAGAAGAATTAGCTTGCCTATTTAACAGCTCATTAGTATCAGTCCCCTCATATCTGTGGTTCTGGTTTTTTGTTTTGGTTTGGTTTTTTTCAGCAAAAGGCTGAGTTCCCACTACTGCAGCTTCACAGTGCTCTGCCACTACTGTCACACAGGCAGAAAATTAAAGTAGCATGTTCATAATTCCGTCCCATTTGGGATATCTTCTAATGCTTGCATCATGCAAGTGAATTGCAAAGCTCTGCTCTCACTTCTTTCCTTTGAGTCCCTCTTTGCGACAGTCGTATCATTTTTAAATACATTGCGGTCTTATCTGAACATAGAGGATTAGTTTTCTCTTGCAGAAACAAAATTACTGTCAATTATCTGCTCAGAGAGGGGGAAAAGGTGGCTCTTGTATAAAGCAACAGGCCCAATGTCTCTATCATAAAGTGGGATTAAGAGTTTCATCTCATTTCACAGTGAAATTGCTGAGGTGTAAGACGGAGCAGAAAGCCTAAACCTGGGCTCTTGGTTGCACCAGGGTCAATCTGAGCTGCTGATACAGGCAGTAAAACTTCCTGTGGCATTAGAGAGCCCAGCATCACACAGAGTGTAACCACTCATCATCTCAGCCAAACGACAGAAAATACACCTGGCACACCGATGGTAACAGTGTCCACCTTTCCCTTCCATGATGGTGAATTATTTCTGAGACCACAAGGAGGAAAAAACAACCAAACAAACAAGAGCCAGGAGGAGAAAGAGGAGCAGAGAGCAGGGTTTGCCCCAGAATATCCTCAGCTGCTGGACCCATAGACCTTGATGATGGTGATGAAGGGGGAAACTGAAATAACTGAGACTGCAGCAGAGGGAGTTCAGTGGAAAGGTGGTGAGCTAGGTCATTCATGAGATGAAGCAGCTTTCTGCCCTCCTGCCATGCTCCTTTCAGCCACCGAGCTGTGGGGAGGGAGGACTCGGGGCTCCCACTGAAGGGAGCACAAGGCAACCAGCTCTTTTCTTTTGTGGCCGCTGCCGGCTTTGCATACGTAGTGTAAGCAATAGTGTGCTGCAGGGTAAATGACTCTGGAAAAGTTCAAAGGGAGAATTTAGTTCAAATGAGAGTTTAGGTTAATATTCTAGACAGCTAATGTTTCTGCTAGATTTATATAATCAGTTTTATGGTGAGTTCTTGGTATGTTTTGGCTTTTTCGGTTGTTTGGCTTTTTGTGCATTAGAGAGCCCAGCATCACACAGAGTGTAACCACTCATCATCTCAGCCAAACGACAGAAAATACACCTGGCACACCGATGGTAACAGTGTCCACCTTTCCCTTCCATGATGGTGAATTATTTCTGAGACCACAAGGAGGAAAAAACAACCAAACAAACAAGAGCCAGGAGGAGAAAGAGGAGCAGAGAGCAGGGTTTGCCCCAGAATATCCTCAGCTGCTGGACCCATAGACCTTGATGATGGTGATGAAGGGGGAAACTGAAATAACTGAGACTGCAGCAGAGGGAGTTCAGTGGAAAGGTGGTGAGCTAGGTCATTCATGAGATGAAGCAGCTTTCTGCCCTCCTGCCATGCTCCTTTCAGCCACCGAGCTGTGGGGAGGGAGGACTCGGGGCTCCCACTGAAGGGAGCACAAGGCAACCAGCTCTTTTCTTTTGTGGCCGCTGCCGGCTTTGCATACGTAGTGTAAGCAATAGTGTGCTGCAGGGTAAATGACTCTGGAAAAGTTCAAAGGGAGAATTTAGTTCAAATGAGAGTTTAGGTTAATATTCTAGACAGCTAATGTTTCTGCTAGATTTATATAATCAGTTTTATGGTGAGTTCTTGGTGTGTTTTGGCTTTTTTGGTTGTTTGGCTTTTTGCGAGGGGGTGTTGGGGTTTTGTTGTTTTTTTTTTTTTTGATGTTTTGGCTTTTTCGGTTGTTTGGCTTTTTGTGAGGGGGTGTTGGGGTTTTGTTGGTTTTTTTTTTTTTGATCAGGATACCTCCTGGAAAAATAGTTGCCAGATCAAAACCTAGGAAATCCTAAAAATATTTTTACAGCATGGCTCTGAAACTAATCATCATCCATTTATAAACATTTCTTCAAATATTTGTAGTGAATATGTCTTAAGAGTTCAAATATTGTGTAATAGCTAGATAAAGAAAAGTGCATATTCAGGACAATGTTCAAACATAATTCAATGTACTTTAATACTTTTATTTCTTGCGAGCACGTTAGAATGAAAAAGGTTATGCTCTTTTTCTAATGTTTCATAGCAGAGTGTGAGCTTTGGCGCAGACAAGACAGTGAGCTAATTCACATCTGCTCTCTATTAATGAAACCCTGCTCCGTTCTTACTCCATGTTAATGAACAGCATCTAAATGATTTTAATAGGTGATGTTACTGTGAAGTATTTGGTATTTCCTATTATATTGGCTTTTTGTTTAATTATAGAAACAATTGATACAGAGTACCCTAAAATATTAGAAGGGGAAACTATAGGTATGAAGCTTATAGATGCAAACTTTTCCAGGATTATTTTTGTTCCTTTGTACCTGTTCCTACTACTTTCCAGTTTTCTGGTGAATTATGTGAATTAGGCTTTGATATGACAGGGCTGAGGTGAAAATGTATTTCATATAGTGGTTCATCTTCACAGTGCCCTTTTTTCTCTATTATGAAGGGGCGAACAATTAAATCAATTAATAGAAAACAACATCCTAATCTTATTTCTTCTAATACATTCTCCTCCTGAGGTGAACAGACAGCTCCTAAAATGTCAAAACTTCACTACAGCATGTAGATACCCAACTGCTTCAATGTGATGGAAGCAGTATCAGAACCACATACAGGACCCTAATGCTTTTTCATACAATAATATTCTCAATACTTTGTGAATTTCCACTTAAACAATCCCATTATCCATGCTGTAATTTTTATGCAGAACTTACATTATAATGTATATATCGCATACCCATGTGTGTATAGATTGTTATGCAGATTACTATAGTTATTTTTACATTGCCCTTTTAAGACAAAATTCAGAGTCACCATGCTAACCATATTTCACAGTGTAGGAATATTTCCCTTTCCCCTTTTGTGTTGTGAAAAAGGCTCACCTTACCCCAGGTGGATGCTGCAGAACAGGGTAATCGGTGTGAAAACATAGTTTCCCGGTTGTGTAAGCCACGTTGTTAGCATCTGCTTTGTCTTGCACTTGCCAAGTTGGTCTTTATAATGAAAGGGAAAAAGGAAAACATGTTAAAACAGCCAGCCCGCATGCCAGACAGTACACACTGAAACTGTGAAATCACAGCACAAAAGAGTCATTCCATCTTTGAACATGAAAATATTGCAAAATTATAAGGAGATAACGATTGAGCAGTGTCGCCCACACCAGAAAAGGCTTATCTCAAGCTAGAAACTTTAACGTGCAGAGGGATGCCTGGCCCCAGCACAGTATCCAGAAGAATGATGGCTTTCTAGTGGTGGCACTTTGCTGGATGCAAAGATCAGTTGAAGCCACAAACTGAGAGGCAGCTGTTAGGAGAAATAGTCATCTTAATACTGAGGCTTCAGAGATAAGAAAGTCAAAGTTGGCTTATTTCTTTTTATCAACCTTCCACTTTTCCCTGTCAGGTGGAGCACATTATCAATGAAATATGAAATTGTTAAACGCTATGTAACTTTCCCCAAAAATTATTTTTAAAGCTTTATGATCTTAGAACATATAGAGAATCCTTTGAAGGGGGATCTTTCCTGTAACTTGAAGGTTTACTGCTCCAGGAAAATGTCTGGATGAAAGGCTTTGTAACTGCTTCCCTTTCACTGACTCTCTTTCTGAGAACTAACCCTACTTATTTTGTTACATAGTTTCTGTCTTGAAATTTAACAAAATTCGGTAGGAAAGGGTACTGATAACAGCAAAAGAAATGGTTACAAAGACTCCCAGCACAATCAAAATCCGTTTTGAGCGAGATGCCCTGCAGGAGAACTTAAGACCAAAAAGCACTGATTTTGTTTGTAGAGAGTTCACATGATTGAAGACAGTCCTCAGCGGATGCATGTCGTAGATCCAGACATTTGTCTGGAAAAGTGTAAGTCACCATATGCAGTCCATGTAATCACAGGAGCATAAGTGATTTAAAAGAAAATATGAAACTCATTTTCCCTTGTGAAATACTACAGACCAAATATATTATGTTTCAGATGGTGTCTAGCATTACTTCTTAATAATAGTTTAAAAAGAAAATAGGCTAAAGAATGTACAGACCAAAGTGATTTATATATAATATACAAACATGTTCTAGAAGTGATATTTATTATAGGAACTCTGCAAAATGCTAAAACTAAATTTCTGAAATTGCTAGAGGGAAAATCCCCTTGAATATTTGCAAATGTGTTTAACTGGCTGAGGAAAAACCCCTTTTATTATTTGGTACAGCACACACTCATCAGTACATTACTTCAGCACTCAAGTATGGTAACTTCAGCCACACTTCCCTAGTTCCGAATTTTATTGCCAAAAAATAGCACATTATATCATCCTTGTCATTAGTGTTGAAGGTAGCTACGTTCACTACATCTTTAATTTTAAAGGCTCCAGTGTCACTTGATGAATCTAAAACAATTTAACACATTTTAATTGTCTCATATGCAATATATACAATTACTGGAATGGTAGTATCTTCTAAAATCATTGTAAAGTTTTGTAAAAGCAATCAGTGCTTCCGTGCTGTTACACTTGGCGATGGAAGCTGGTCCCTGGGAGACTTCCTTACATGCAAGGAGCTTTGGTCAAAGCTCCAGTTACCGACTTGAAGTCAGCGATGATTAAAAAGACAAAGTGATGCTAATAGGGAGCTCAGCACTGAATATGAAAAAAATCAACCTTACTTTGTCAAAGTCTCAACTGAGCTGAAGTATCGACTCAGTCATGGGGAGAACGAAAGGAAGAAAATGTGGGTAATGTCAGATGACTCTTGGCCCTTAGGGAGAGCAAAGTGGGTTGGAATGGTTTATGGTTTAGTAATTAGGGTCAGATTTCAACATCAATTGCTCAGGCTGTTTGACAGAGGAGGAAATTTGGCACCAGGCAGGTGTAGCAATTTTTTGCATTAAGTGGCAATGTGAGCTCAGTCTCCCTGAGCAGAAAATTAGCCTGTCTGTTACATCCTTAGTCTTGCAAAACTGCTGCACTAGGATCTGAAGCCACACTTGAGTCATCTTTATTGCACTTGCACTTTATTTAAAATCTAAGTCTCATTCATAAGTCATCTGGGACCCATGTCCTTCTCTTGCAGCTGAAGCCGCCTGGGAGGTGCAGATGGTTTGATTATTTCAGGGGGAGCACAAGGGATCTGAAGGAAGCCCTTGGTGCCACCCAAAGCCCTGGAGAAGGCTTCAGAACAAGGGAGGAGCACAAGGTCTAGGGCATGAGAAGCTGGTGAAATGAAGTGTGGTATGACTGGAGACCTAGTTAATGGAGTTGTGCCTCTACAGCATAATGAAAATTGTTAATTTAAAAACGTGGAATCCCTGGTGTTGTTACATACAGAGAATGTTTTCACTTTTTACAGTAATGACGTTTTAGGTAGCATGTACCAAAGAGAAATCTAGACAAGAAAAAAGGCTTTTGTTTTTCCACGTGTCAGAGTTATATTCGTTGCTGTTACATTTCAGTTTAAAATTCATGGCCCTGTTGAGGTAACGTTTTATTTGGCAAGCTTGCCAATTCCAAATTTATCCTTTTATTTGTAATATTTGGTAGGCATTGTATTTGGCTGCTAGTGAAACAGCATGGGAACTACCCAAAGTTATTATTTTATTACAGTTGTAAAAGCCACCTCAGAATTGGATACCAGTAAGAAATGAAATTTTGTTTTAGAGAAGAGATGGACTGTAAAATGCTGCTCTGTTTGTTAAGACTGAGTTTCTGTTTTTAGGCTGGGTTCCAGCTATACATGGTAAAAAAATACAAAATTTGTTCCTTATAAAACATTTACCCAAACCACCCCCCACCAAATATCTGAAAATAAACCAGAACCATTAAAGTCTTTTTCAAGACTTGATGTGATGAATTACACATTAAACAGACACTGGGTTATTAAACTCTCTGAATACAGTTCTGTAACTTTTTTCTGATAAGTTTTGCATGTTACCACTTCATACACATCTATATTAAAACATATGAAACTAGTTTTGTGACTTAATTTTTAAAAAATACTTTATGGATAATTTCTTAAGCTGCTACACATAACGATAGAAAGTTTATGCATTATACTGGTTGTATTATCCAGCACTTGAGGAATTCCTCTCTCCCTACTATTATTATTATTTTTTTTTTACACAGAGCTCTTAAGGAAAATACGTGATCTAAAGAGTCATTTAATTTTCTTTTTTTTTTCCAAAGCATTAACCACAATCATCATCAGTATGGCAATGAGAGCAGCTGAACATCGCTAAGGACGTGTGCTCTGTGTGTGTGCTCGTGCCCAGGGAGGGAGGGGAGTTGGTGGACAGCAGTGTGGGAGAAAGGAGAGCAACCCTTTTAAGCAGGTTTAGCATTTTGCAACCCTACTTTCTATTTACAGCCTTTACTTGAAATCTAGACTAGTCTGCAAAACTGGTCTTTGGATGTCAGGCTCTCTTTGACCTTATGCTCTTCAGATTTTAATTTAATATTGCAAAATCAACCTAATCATACACAGAAACATAATTAGCAAATGTCAAATGACCTAGAGTAAATCTAACCATGGTGGCTCACTTGGGATGATGTAAACCAGACTGCAAGACTCTCAAATGCTAGAGTTGTGTTTAAAAAGCAAAAAGGAAAAAAACACAAACTCAGTTAAACTAAATATTGTAACTCAGTATGTTTTCTTTTAAATACAGAATTTGTAGTCTATTGGAAAATTTGAAACCCTCTTTCTGCAGCCTAATAAATACAAGAATTAGCAAATAGGTTTTGGAAAAGCAAGGAGACTTACCGCCTTTTATTGTTCCTTTATTGTGAACCCTAATACTTAAGAAAACATAAAAATAAGGTTTAATCAACACCAATAGTAAATCTGATTTAAACGGTGAAAGGAGCTAAAACCATTGCTTAAATGGTGTGGACCAAGGTCACACTTCAACGTTGATCTCATATGGAACATTAATGTGTGGGAGGGTCTTTGTAGGATGTATTAAAATACTTTTAAATATATTTGTATATATGTGTGTGTATATATATGTGTGTAGTGTATATATATATGTGTGTGTATATATATATATTGATATGTAAAAGACTTTTATTGATATGTATTGATATGTATTACTTTTATTGAAACCATCTTTAAAGAGAGTAAACATTAATGTAGAATCATAGAATCACAGAATTGTCTAGGTTGGAAGGGATGTTTAAGATCATCTAGTCCAACCATCAAATTTAAGCTGACTTTAAACAACCTGAAGCATTGAATAATCATTACTGCTTATAATCATATTAGGAAAGAATCAGTGAGGGGCAAGATAACTTTTTTTTTAATTGGGAAAAAAAAAACCATTCTGATGACACAACTGATAAACTGGCCCTAGGGCAATCTGAATCTCTTGCTAGCTGAACTTAGACAAGGAAAGTATATGCTAACAGGTAACGTACCTTCATACGCTAAGGGACTTTTCAGTCTCTCTTACACATAGCAGCTATCACATGCTGGGTGTTGCAGACAGTTGGCAGCGATTTTAAACCACCAGGATGATTAAGAGCTGAGGCAGAGCACCAGGCAGAATGGTAGACTTTTTTATCTTACAATGCCACTGAGGTAAATATCAAAAACTTTTGAATACCTTGGTGAAAAACATGTTACAAGGCTCAGCAGGTGAAAAACAGTGGGCTGCCCCATCAAGAACACTGGTCAGGAAGATTTAGTCATATCCAGTTTTAGGCACTAGGAACTTCTTCTAGATGCAGTTTCTCATCCCTGAAATTTAGGAAAGCAACTGAAGGTTCTGTTGTAACCCATGCACGGATCCATGCTATCTGTTGAAGGGGCTGTATGGGTTGGGGTTTTTTTGTTGTTGGGTTTTTTTTTTTTCTTTTTGAGTCTTCTGCCACCTCCTCCCCCTCTCTCTCTCCCACCCCCCCCCACACCGAAGTATTTTGGAGATAATATATACTTTCTGTTAGTGGTATGCTTTAACAAAGAATCAACATTTTTTGTTGTTATGTGGTGCTTGCTATATTCATTCCTAACTCAAGATGGTTGTGCATCTCTCTGGATACAAACAGAATTCATGTTTCAGCCTCCAGCCATCAAGGAAAGCTCGGTGAGGGCGTGAAACCTAAGAACCTCCTTATATCTGTTATTAGGATGATGTCAAAACAGAAGTAGAAAGCAGTAGTATTTTTCTAATGATGCAAGCTTTAAATTGAGACTGTAGTAGACTGCCAAACATAGAAGTGCTTAACATTGAGGGTGGTGAGGCATTGGAACAGGTTGCCCAGAGAAGCTGTGGCTGCCCCATCCCTGGAGGGGTTCAAGGCCAGGCTGGATGGGGCTTTGAGCAACCTGGTCTGGTGGGAGGTGTCCCTGCCCAGGGCAGGGGGTTGGAACTGGATGATCTTTAAGGTCCCTTCCAACTCGAACCATTCTATGATTAGGAATGCCTTTAACAGTAGAAAATATTTCATAACACTGGATGAGGTTTCCAAGTCGAGCAGGAGGTTCTGCTCCTATTTATTTCAGTAGAATTAACCTGACTGAATCCCAGTTACCTTTGAAAACCACTTTTCCTTCTGGCACAGTAAGCAGAAAGGGGAAACCACACCTTAATGAAAGCACATTATCTTAACTACCCTAGTATATTTATACATTACTCCCTTTAAATCTTTACAAATATTTATCATGGCTGCTATAATTGACAAAAAAGCTTCATAATATTACGGTATTTTAAAGCAATTATTTTCTCCATCCCCTCTTTTGGGAAGACAATAGAAAAAAAACAAAATGCTATTATCACTAGCTGTTCTACATGCTATGAATTCACTTCAGTTTCTAGAAGATTTCTTGAGCCAACTTTCCTTATTTACAAACAAGAAAAAATTCTGCACAAACAGGTTGACTTTCAACATAAATGAAACAAAAATGAAGGCTGGAGATTGGGTAAGAAGCAACTTATACACTGCTAGAAGTTGCTAGTATATTGTAATAGCTATTTCTCTGTCTCTTAATCTAAAAACCAGCACCATCAATGACATCTTTTTCTATAGCTAATGATGGAACCACATTTGCAAAATGACGATGTTAAAAAAAAGTCTTAATAAGCATTATAGCTTGAAGAAGGGAACTTTTACTCACCTTCCCTGGCTCACCTCACCTCCCCACACCCCAATTAACATTCTGAGTTAATTTATTTCTCCTGCTATCACAGTGCTGCTCTTACCAACCTCACCTGCATTGCATATTCCTGCAGGGCTCATACGTGCCTTCACACAGGAGTGTTAAGGAGCAGAAAAGTCTTTCCTTCTGATTTGTAGTCTTGAGGGAATGTGGTCTTTCTGGCCAAGGTTGGATTTTTTTTCCCCACTGCTATTTATTTTATATTTTTTTAGACAAAGGAGGAGACACATGGAGATATGGCCCACTTGGTTTGTTTGATTATTCTCTGAACTAGAGGTAAATCCAAGTGAAGAAGAAGTCTAGCCAATCTTTTATTCTATTATGGGGGAGAAGGGGCCTTTTCAGATGGGAAACCCTGAATGTTTCTGATTTTGGTGGTTACTCAGGCACCAAGAAATCACAACTATATTGAAATGTTACTATCTATTTCTGTGAATTGCTTTTTTTTTTTTTTTTTTTTAAAGAATAAGCACACATACAAGGAATAGTGTTTTTTATATACACTGTAAAAAGTTATACCAACAGCTCGGGGTGAAGGACAGGGCCATAAGGTAGCTAATAACATTGCTCTTTACTTAGCTAGATGGAGGTCACTGACACAACTCAGCAACCACCATCACTTGTTTACTCACCTAGTAGGCACTTGAGGAGGCAGAGGTTCATCTTACCACCCCTTGGCATCAAAAAGATGATTTACAGGTTCCTGCTTGCACTCCTGCAGGCAAAGCTCTTACTTTTGCAAAAAAGCAGTCTTAAAAAAAAATGCTTGCTGGGACGGGTTGTGGCTTTCCAGAGCAGACTCAGTTGAAAGCAGGGGAAATAGGTACTCTGCCCATCTTCTCGGTGATGTGCGACACAATAATATCATCTAAGCCTTACCTATTTCCATGACTCAAAATCAGGCTAAGGAAAAGATTCAGTACAGATAACTTCCTCTATTCAGAAGGCTATCTCTTATTTGAAATCATCTGTTTTCAGCCATTTTTCCTTCACTCAGCAGTCGATGTTATAGCTGCTGGTCTCTACACACCCTGCCTGCGATAGCAAAGCAATCATCTTATACAGAATATTAACTGGCACCACATTTTCTAATACGCAGAGAAGAAAAAAATGTCACCTATTTTTAATAAGTTAATCCACAAAAGAGGTCCAGCAAGCTGAAGTGACATACATGAGAGGTAACTACTTAGCCAGCAAAGCAAGGATATTAAAAGCCAAACTCACCCATAGAAAGTCAGGCGCAGGAACCCAATCCGGTGGCCAAGTTTAACCAACTCTCCCTGCCTGGCAGCAGCTCCTGTTAGCAGCACGATTCCTACTTTCTTTAGGGTGCACAGCCACTTATAAGCGCTCTCATCGTTGTACATGACTTCTTCAAAAGGTATCTCGGGAAGTTGCAGGTCTGAGCCCCAGTACTGGCGTTCTGAAAGGGAAGAAATACAGAGACAAGCACTTAGCTGTTTTAGCATCAAAGCTCAGGACGTAGTGGAAGTATGAAGTTAATGAGATTTCTGTGCATTTGTAAATGTGCCCTCAGTCCTGCAGTCAGCCACCTGAAACTGGGCCCCTGAGTTTGCATGGATAACAAGCAATATTTATAATGAAATTCAACAAAACATCGTAGTAAAGAAATTTTAACTCGGAAGTTGTATGAAAGACCTTTTGAAAGGGATATTTTTTTGTTAACAGTAGATCAGAACTGTGCACGTTCATTTTTCTGTCTGTACTGGTGAACCACAAGAGTGAAAATTTGAAGCTAAGACTGCTTTGAAACTTGCATGTCTAGGTAAAATACCATGAAGGTCTCCCTCAGAGGTATTATCATATGGATATATCATAATGAAAAGATTATATTCCTGATGAAGGAATAAGAGAAAACACACATCAATATAACAGCTTAGAAGCAGAGTAACTACCTCAATTGCATAAATGACCAATCAATTTTCTTTTGTAGATTTATCTTCATGAAACTATTTCTAGTTGTGTTACGTTCTGCAGGAAAGTGTAATTCCTTGTCTTTTCCTCTGCAGACTTTTTCGTGAGGATTTATCTTATTTCAGGAAGATGCAAAGGAGAGCCCAAGATCTGAACAAATCCAGGGTGAAGAAAATGATGGAAAGATTGAGTGGTGAGTAAGAAGTTATGTAACTACGTCATGCTTCAGAGCTGGAGCCGAATAAGGGGAGCCTCAACATGGCAGCTGGAGAGCTGAAAGCCAAGTGACAGAGCTCCAGAAAACACTGAGGATCTTCTAACTAAATAATCAGGCCCTAAACATTTTTTTTCCCTTTTGTATAAATGGCCAGAAACTGCCAGCAGGTGCCTGAGGCATGATTAGCAGCCTCTCTGGTTGCTATGTAATCTCTGGGATGACAACACTCTGCCCAGGGAGCCATGTAAATTGTTTTCTGAGGGGTGACCACAGCAGAAGGTGCTGAGGGGAGGCATGGCCCAGGCCCAGAGAGCCACAAGCTGCCAAGATCCTGGGCTCTGCACAGCTGTACCTCCAGTGCATGGACCTCTACCCTGCTCCCACACGAAACCTTCACACAGCGTATTCAATTCTAATGCACAGGAAAAAAAATCACTTTATCATTGAACAGAGAGCATCCAAGCCTTTATATCCCCCCACCATGACAGCACTCCATCCTCTCCACTGACTGCAGCTGGGGTGGCTGAGGTGCCATGAAGTGGCAGTGGGTGACCAGAGGTACCAACAGCCATGGCTCAGCTCATTTCAGAAGCAAAATAACCCCGGTGGCTGCCATTCCCCATGCTCTATGTAGCAATTTTGGGTCTTACATATTTCAGGCTTTCTTGTGAGATATTAGTACTTGTACACAACTTGCAAAACAAGGAAATGAGGTGTGATCAGCTCACTCTATCTGAAAAGCAAAAGACCATCTAGACCTATACATCTGCCCTTCAAAGTTACCATAATGCACAGAAATAGGTGTGGGGTAATTTATCTCTCTCCTATACAGGAGGCCTATTTCAGATTTATACTCCCCGAATATTACGCAGTCTCCTTCCTTGCTCTCATCTCACTCATTTCTACATGAAGTATCTCATAAATTTGCCAGTTTACCAATTAGTATGCACAAATAAACAAACACACATGTTCAAATCAAAAACATTGCAAAATAATGGGTAAACAGGACAAAAATGCTATTTCTTACATTTTGTTTTGCATACATTTTGCATTGCTTCTAGTCTTTTGCAAAACTCTAAACATTATTTTTAAGTCAAGCACTGAATCAGAGCTCCTATTCTTACAGCAAAGACATAATTGGCTTCCCTTGCTTTGATGTAGTTCAGCTGAAGCTTATCATTCTTTAGAGAGTGCACAATAAAGCTGGAAAAGATTTTAGCTATTCCATAGTAGACCTGTTTTGTTTACATCAGATCTAGCTTACTTGCTATTTTAGCTAATATTCAATCACGAATGTGATTGATTGTCCAATCACAGAGATTACATACTAGAAATGAGACCATAAACATTGAAAAAATGCAGATGGCACCATTTTAAAAACACAACTCTCTTTACTCCAACATGCCTTCAACAGACAGGAACAATAAAAACTATTACATATTCCAAGCAGCTTTCTGAACGGGAACTCTGGGGAATTTCACCTGGTGACTGAGGAACACGTTGCCCTTGAAAGAAATGTAAAGGTTCAGGATTGGGTTGCTTTATTTGTGGGGTTTGTTTCGTTGGTTTTTTTTTTTCCCCAGTACAAAATGCAATGTGCTCATAAAAAAAAAAAGTGTACCCAGACACTACATAGTTATAACATTTTTCAACAGTTGCAAAGTCTGCAAATTTCCAACCACTACTATTCCCCTCCCCTTTGGCTACGGCCGGTTAAAGACCGTCCAAAAAACACAATGAACATACCCAAATATAAGCTGTCCACATAGACCATCTTTTATACTCTACCCTGTGTTCCAAAGAAGCTGTAGAATGATTGACAAGCTGTTGAATTTCACAACATGTTCATAAAATCAAAAAAGCGAAATCCTTGAGGAGGGATATAATCTCACCTCATTAAGTTCCTTTTTGAGTCCACTCCATGGCCTGCTACTCACTGCTCCACTGTGTTTAACTCAATATACATCCTTTCGCACATTTGAAAGATGAGGTAAAAATAATACATGAATGCTTTTCTTTTTCTCTATTAAAAGTTATGAAATTAAAATAGCTTTAGGTATGCTGCATGAACTGCCAAGAATATGCTCTGAAAGACAAATACAAGCTTCAGTGCTGGTGCAGGTAAATAACCATCTGAAAATTAGTGAAATATTTAAGTTTCAACTTTTCCTTCCTAGTCCTTCTTGCTAATAAATTTTTTCCAAATTTTCCTTATACATAGAGTATAGGCATAGAGTAATATTAGTATTTCAAAGATTTTACCAACAGATTTTTCCCCACTTTGGGAAATAAATATATGCACCTGGAATTCAACTGCAGCCCCAAGAGCCCCAGGCTTACCTGAGTACATGGACTGTAAAGTCTTCTTACTTGAACTCCCAATTCCTACTGTGCTTGCTTAAGTTCCACCTAATACAGGATGCCCCTTCTGCAGCCAATGGACATGGCTTTTTGGGGTGGTTTTGGCTTTTGTTGCAAACACCTGCTGTGCCACAGCACTGCAAACCAGTACACGCTCACCATACCTGTCTGGGACCGTCCTTGATTTTGATGTAACACGTGGAGAACATTCAAAGATCACCAACCCATTTGGTCTTCCTCCCAACCGGGCACCCTGCAGTGGAGGCAGTCATCTGGCCTCACATCTCCAACTCCATGGAGCCAGGGGAGACAAAAGCTGAATTCAAAATGCTTCTGTAAGTAACCTGCAAGAGCAACCTTTTCTTGGTGTAAAAACCATCAAGAATGTGAATCCCACTAAGCTACTGAGAATTTATCCCTCCCCAGACTCTGCAGTCTATTCAGGAGACTGAAGAGATGTTTAACCTTTACAGTACCCCTATGATGTGGAAATCGCAGAATTTCAAGGAAACTGAACTGGTCACTGATACTTTCCAGGCAGCTACTAAAACTGAGAAATGGTACAAGTAAAGTAGCTTCTTAGGTGATTTTTTTTTTTTTATGTTTAGCTACTTTGTATTAAAAAAAAAAAACAACAAAGACAGAAAGTGGTAAATATAGTTAAAACCTGCCTGGCGAGGCTATAAACTTTGTCCTTGAAGCTCCATTTCGCTCCCATGAATTCAGTTCCAGTGACAAGTGCAGCCAGTATCCGTAGTGGTTTTTCTGTCATAAGGAGCAGGGCTGGTGCACAAAGGCTTATAAATCCTACCTCATGTTTCAGAGAAGAAAGGCTCCAAGTTCCCAGCGCTTAAGTGGCATCTTGATGCAGCCAAGAGCTTAGTCTTTGAGCTATGGCAGAAGTAACCTTTCCCCCCTGACATTTGCCAACGTACTCTGTAATGACACTGTGGTAAATATGCCGAAAGCTGAAAACGCATTGTGCACAGCTCCAACTACTATTAATCTTGGGAAACGTATGGAATGCAGCAGCGGTTGGTATCTGGGAGGAAAAAAATCCAGTGCAGCTTGTAAAATTATTGCTATTAAAAACATGCCCTCACTTCACAACTTAAAATCTTCCTTATAATTTGAAACTTTTTATAGTTTTTCTCAGCTCAGATTTTTACCCATTCTGAATAGCATTAAGAAAATCTGTGCATTTGTACAGTGGTGTACCTACCATGAACATGGAAACCAAAAGGTTCCTTCTCTCTCTCCCCACTCTGCTCCCAGCACTTGATTTCTTAGATGCTTCTAGACCACTAATCACATACAGTGCTTTCCAGTGAGCACTCTGGAGTCTTCATGCGTGGTGCTCAGATATGATACACTCTGTGGAAGCCTTACCACCAAATGGAACAGAAGCACTACCTCATCTCTTCTGCAGGTTAGACTTCTTTTAGGACTCAGTTGAAAGCAATGTTTGCCTTGACCCCAACCCAGTCTGCCAATCCCACCCGACCCGGGTGGTTATTTCCCTGCCTCGCACTCCAACGGCTGCCGAGCTGCAGCCTCCCACAGGAAACCCCAATGCAATGACCATGGATGCTGACGAAATATCAAAGAAATGGACTGCCAAGAGTGGCTTGGCTCGCTTACTTTTACTACATTGCTGCTAGACACTGAGTGTTAGGCTAGATGAACTAGTCAGCCAACCCGTTAAAGCACTATTTAATATTTTTACCATTTCTCCTATTTGTCAAGGTCATCTAGAATTGTAACCCTGGTCCTTCAGCCTGGTTCCAATCAACCCCTGATGGATGTCATCTGCAAATTTAATGTAGCTATTCTTTTCCATCATAGTCACAGACAAAAAAAAGGAACAGTATTGCATAAAGCACAAACCTTCGCAAAGCCCATCTTGATATATCATTCTGTCTTGATAGTAAACCATTACAGCTACTTTGACTACTTTTTAAAGATGACACATTTCCTTAGCACATTCATGGAAATTTCATGTGCAACAGGGTCAAATCCCTTATGCTAAGAATATGAATGTGGCCACTTCATTTAACAATAAATATGCCAAAGAAAATGATGAAAAACAATCAAAGAACAAATTTGCATAGTTGGAGCACAAGCCAAACCACTGCCTTGACAGCACTGCATAAACTTTTCAAAATATGAGAAGGGCAGAATCTCCATGAAGAGAAAGAAGCAGAAAAACATTTTAGAGCCGTGATTGAAATAAAGTGATTCATTTGCAGCAATAAAGCCATACAAAATGGGGAGAAAGTTGCAGCATTTACACACCAGCTCAATGCATAACAAATGGTTTTACTACTGGCAAAGAGGAAATTGGCTGACGATCATACCGGCTTTCTGCAGTTGACTATTGGATATTTACTTACACCAGGAGTATATAGTAAGTTGCAGAAAGAAGATTATGCGGTGACTTCCTCATCGTTTTCACACAGAATTTCCTACAGCCTTTTAAATCTATTAGATATTACAGATTAGTAACAGTGGGGGCTTTTTTCTTAGATCTTTAAGATCTTAGAGCTTAATTCAAATATACTGGCACCGGTTTTAATCCTTCTAGTAGCTGCAGTAGATCTAAGGTCTAATTTCTAACACTTATGTCTGATATACACACGAGCTACTTTTAAACAACTCATATTTGGATGAAAAGCAATGAAGGACTTTCTCTCCTCACTGGTCCCCAGAGACCATCACAGTCAGGTAAGCACAACAGTAGTAGGAGAGAGACAAGTAATAGGTCCACACTAAAATAAGCAGTATTTAGAAAGTTTTCCTTCTCCTCAGCCCCAGACAAAAATGTTGTATGTTGTCCAATATTTAAAATTTGACAAATTAACACATCCATAATTCTTTGGAAAAGGGACAGGAAAGCATGCAGCATAAAACCAAAAAGGATCCTGTGATGTGAAGATATTTAAGTTGTTCCACTTAATATTTTTTTTTAAATGTCTATACAAAAGTCTTAGAAAATTGTGTGCCCCACAGGGCATGTTGTTCTCCCACATACTGAACAACAGGAACTTTATTCCCATTTTGATCCACAAAAACCTTGAAAAATCTATCAAAAAGCTGCACTGAACAAGGGCAGTATTTCCTGGTGGTAGCTGATCCCACTCAGGTTCTTCATTATTTTACCTTGTCAGCATAGCACGCTTTTCCCCACTGTGTAACCACAGTTAATACAGTTTCCATTGTACTACAGCAGAAATCTTAAAATTTACACTTGGAAAGCTGAAGGGGCAAGAAAGATAGGAATGAGCCAGTAGTGTCTGGGCAGACTTAAGTCTCACTTGCACAGCACAGCTGCAGTTGCCCAATAAAAAAATCTTTATGTTTACAAATGTAGCTGAACAATTCGTAAGGGATAAAAACAAAGGTCTTGTAGAATTATTTTGTGTCTTTACTGACCATTTACATAACAACTAAAAAACCCCCAGATCTATGCATTTTTCAAAATGAGAAGAATAAAATACTTTTGAGTCAGTCTTTCAATTTCAGAACAATAATTTTGGGGGAGAGAAGAAAAGAATCCCATTTCTTAATCATACCAGGTTATTCACAAAAAGCCACCTACTGCACAAAATGAGAAGGCCTTTGCCCAGTTCCTGCAGATGGTGTGCATGCGTCAAATGTATTTACTTGGAATTATTCAGCATTTACTGTGCAGGTTGGGACCGTGCTGGTCAAAACCTTCTATAAGGAGCCATGTGAGAAAGAAAGTCGAGACATCATAGATCAGCTTACTTCATCTAAAATTATTTTGCCTACAGTATATATTTTACTGTCTGTTGAAAGCCAGACGTCTTTTTCCTGCATTGTGGATTACGGATAGGGCAGCCTAACTCATGGGGGCAGCTCTTATTAATTATTACTACAGGATAAATCCAATTGAACTCTTTTAGCCAAAAACAACTTTTCACTTATTTCTCCCTCTCCCCCCTAGCCCCCATCCTGTTGGGATGCCAGTGTCTTTGAAAACAAACCTCAGTGAGTGTAAAGCAATGCAGTGAGAGGCTGAATACTGGGAAGTGCCTGGTGTACTTAGTGCCTGCCACAAGCCTTCTCTACCACACACAAAATCTGAGCTACAGAGAGACAGCTCAAGGTGGTAAATCACTCCTGTGATGTTTGCTGGGGAGAACACAAGTAAACAGGAGGGGAAAAAAGAGTATCTTTGAGACATCAGAACTGGGGAAGTAGAAGATGGCGCTTTTGCTGCTTTTTTCAAAGTATCTTGTAAACTGGGCTGAAAAAAGCCTTGGTACACACAAATAGCAGACTTTTCATACTGCACGGATAGGATCTGGCAGTGTTCTTAAAAGGGGAATGTTGACATATTGGCATAGAGCTATTTATAGTCACTTCCATCATGCAGTGAAAATTTGACCTGCTCTTCTTTTCGGGTTTGACACACGCCTGACATCTAATTTTTTGAATCAGAAATGATGACGAAAAACCAGCATAAAAACAACATGAAAAGCAAATAACCACTTGCCAAAAAAAAGGGGGAGAAAAAAAAAAAAGGCCACAGTTGTGATAATGTCAGCAGTGAAGGTTAACCTCTAACTGCAGCAGTCTGGTGAGCTTGCTCTTATATTTGTCAAACCAGCATGCAGGGCTGGCATTCCACATCACGGTCTGTAATACTATACTGCTGGGATATCATTAGCTACTTATAGCCATGTCATTTGCTGTGTGTAACTCCCCTGACCAGAAGGAAGCGAATTCTAAACTTACCCCAATACACAATGAGAAACAGGCCTTAAAGAGCCAGCAAGCAAACTCATGTGCTTGATAACTGCAGCCTGGTTTTGCAACTGAAACCCGAGAAAAGCTGGGAAAAGCCATCCATCATAATAAGCCAGACCTTCTCTGGGAATATGAGGAAGAGCAAAATGACAGTAAACAAAGCCAAAGTTAACACAGGCCCTTATCTAGTGTCACTTCTATAAGCACACTTCTTCAGATCTACCATGGAAAACAGATTTTTCAAAAGCATGTCCAAAGAGTAAAACGTATCTTTGGTGTATATTTTACCTAGGTGGTTTCACTGGATGTCAGCAGTAGCGGGGGGAGACCTCCGAAACAAGCATTGTGTTTAGATTCTGAGAGTAAGCACTGTGTAAATGGGTGAGTATGAAGGCAAATGGCAGGTAGGTAGGCTCCACAAGGGGGGAAAAAATAGCATTATATCTGAAATAGTGAAACCTCATTTATTGATACCTTTGCTAATAAACATAACCAGAGATCTAGACTAATTTGTCTGGGCATTAATTAGAGCAACATTCAATTTACATCCATTTACAGCCCCCCAAAGGCTACAGCATGTCTTGCTAGCTTCCACAGCATCTTCATTTTTCCAAACAAGAATTCCTACTACCTGAGAAATCAAGTCTAGTTTCCCTGAATGAAGTTTGCATCTTCATCACATTCATTCTGGTAACACGCCCAGTGCTCCAAAATAGTAAACAGTGTAGTTTGTTCTTGCCAAAGCTAAAGCAGACATAAACTTTTATATCACTGGGGGAAAAAAGTTCCATTTTGAACTATGAAGAATCTGCTATTTGATGGAATGAATGGAAATATTACTCATCACTGAAGTTTTAAGCCAGATATAAAAGGCTGAATCTTAAGAACTAACTTTTGTTTAGGAAAACAGGTGCTAGGAGCTAAGGAATATTGGACCCGCACAAACTGGGAAAGACAACTGGCCCCTTCAGTTGTCCCTGAAGTACCAAACAAAGCTCAGACACGGGAGACACCTACGGCCACCATTTTCCCATTTCTCATCTTTCTTGGGAAAAAAACAACCAACCAAACGAACTTTCCTTTCTTTGTCAGAATAAAAAACACCCTGAAAACAGGAGCATAAACCAATGAAGGATTTGCCTTTTGCTGAGCTCTGAGGACACTGAAACCTGGATTTGAGTTTCACACATCAGCCTGCCTCTAGTTTCTTTTTTCTAAAGTAATATCCTGTTTTAACAGATACAGTCTAAACTCAGAACACAGATCCACAATTTTCTGCAACAGCAGATCTCACAGGAACACTGTCAAGAGCAACAGCAGAAATCTTGCAAGTTTTCACAGGTTTCACGCTGACAATCTGAAAGGCTGCCAGGGAAGTGACGACGTGCATCATGACAAACCTCGTGGGTTTAATTGTTCACTCAAAAGGGCGAGTGATTTGTACTGGGTAAATGTTACACTGCCGGTTGCATAAAATGCTTCATGACCAAAGGACCATCAATGACTGCAGTTAAGCGTGGGATGCAGAGCAAACACGACCTGAACTTCAGCACGAGACGCTGCTAGGCTGCACAGTTACTTTTTAACAGAAGGCCACGGAAAGGGAAGATTTTTTTATTTCAGTTATAACTCACTTGCAATTGTAAATAATCTTCTAAAAATAAAAATGTAAATAATTTAAAGAGCACACGCCCACACTTGCATTGTCACAGAGACCACTGCTGGTCCACAAGCCTCATTTTTGAGACCTACTAACCCTTTCTGGAAAGAAAAGGCTTTTAGGAAAGCAAACACAGCCCAACCAGCTGAACTTCTGTCAGGTCCAGGGAAAGAGCAACCACGGGTTCAGCCTAGCACTGAGCACCAAGAGCAGTTGTCACTGCCCCAGCTGGGTTGACTTTGTCCTCACACAAGGACAGGGACCTCTAGCCAGGGCTGTCAGTGTCAGACCCCACACATTTGAAACAAGCATGACGGAAGAGTGTCTGATTCCTACCTGGTAAAAATAAATCTTCTCGCATTTCTGCTCTGGCTTCTTCTGAGAAGCATCGTTTTTTCAGCCACTCAGCTTCATACTCGCTTGCGTGTTCATCAGGCCACGTAATAGAGATCTTCCAATATAAAATGAAAGATAATTTTAGAACAAAAGAATTCAAAAAGCATCACCCAGAACAACAACAGAAAAAAACTTTAGAAAGTCCAGAAATTGTAATATTTAGATCAACATCACAGTTAAGCCTTTTCTGGAACATAAGGGCAAACAAGTAAGAAAAACCCAACCTGATCATCATCCAAATTCTGATACTGTTTATATATGGTCATTTTAACATGAACCCATGACCCAATTTGCTATTTTGTGTGGGCTGCTCTCACTGCGGGAGCTGTGCTTAGCAGAAAGAGGAGAACACAGAAGCTGGCACGTATCACTGGGGAGAGCGCTTCGCCACAACTCAGAAGAGAGCAAAAATATCTTCCAAAACAATGACAGCTTGTTAAAAAAGAAAAAAAAAAAGGACAAGAGAGACAGGCAAAAAAGAAATGCTAGGAGAGAAATCCCTCTCCCAGTTTTGAAAAAGGCTTCCCTCTTTCAAACAAATTTTAAAAAGGCATTAATTTTTGTTTTAATTCCTGAAAAAAACACAGAAAGAAAGCATATGGCTTTGTTTGTCATGAACCAAAAGATCTCAGTGCAGCACACACCCTCAGCTGAGTTCTCAAAGCTGTTGAGTAGGTATCAATTCCCATTTCACATGATTCTGCTCTCTCACATGATGGTAAAACACCAGTATTGGTTTAGGATTAGTGTGCGCTTTCATCAGTTCCTGAGTAGAAGTGGAAGCAGATCATCCCTTTACTATCATGATACATTTGCCTATTCAAAGCAGTACTTTACACAGTATTAACTTTGGTAACAAACAATCAACCTGGGAGCCCAGAATTCCTGAATGCAGACCCTGAGCTGTGCTCCCGCATGGGTCAACCTCTGCAAACTCGCCCTGCAGCGGGGCTGTCCCGGCTGCCAAAGGGTTAACTGCTGCATCTTTAACGTGTTTAAAACGTCTTTAACTGTAAAATGAAGGAAGTGAGTTCACATATCAAAGGAGCCACGTACTGTTTTCAATAAAACCTATAAAATCTAAATGATCTGTTAGGTTTTCATATGGCAAGAAAGATTAAAATTCATAGGGAGGGCAGTTCCTGTCCTCTCTTGCCCCATAACACCCTCTTTTTTATGAGCAAAAGTTAATGGAGACGAGGTAGATGCAGATATAGACACAGAAACTAGGTCAGCTCTGAATATTGGGTTCAACTTTGGTTTGAGTGCTTGCTCTAAGATCAAGTCTTTTGCACATGGGAAAATAGCTAATAAAGTGGTATTTTTGATGTGGATTAAGGTCATCATATCTTTGCCATTTGTTTTTCTGATTTTCAAGGCAATTACTTATAGAGTAAAGGGAGAAAAAAAGACATACATGAAAGTGTGATGAAAAATGTGGGGAATGCCTGTACTTTCTTTTGAGCATTTGGTGATGAAGAAGCATCATAATTTTAAAGATGCAGCATAATTTTAAAAAGCACAGTTACATTCTAAAATCCGAAGCCTGGCTTGCTGTGCTCTCTGCATAACATAACTATAAAGTGAAGCTTCATATAAAGGTGGGAAGATCTGCGTTTGCTAAATTGTAATTATTCCTAAAAGCTTTGCAAATACAGGGTAGGGATACAGGTTTGGACAAACAAATTGCGATTAAAGTACAACCTGGGACTGCCTGTAATTTACAGATTAACAAGCATCGTCAGACGGGTAGAATGGCAGATAGGCAGAACGGAGCTTTGCTTCAAATACCTTTTTTCTACCTGCCAGAGCGACTTCCTTCACCACGATGTCCACATCCAGGTCCTCGAAGACCAGCCTGCGCGCCCTGGCCGACTGCAGGAAGCAGTGGGGACACTGGCAGTTGTCCCTCAGCCAGACGCAGGGGTAGCGGCTCTCGCTCCCGTCCTCCCACTCCACCCGGACAAAATGACCCGCGTCCAAAGCTTCCACCTTCTGGATCCCCGGGTTCATGCTGAGGGGCCGGGCGGCGCGCAGCCCTGCAGCAGCCACGTCCCGCTGGCGGTGCCCACTGGTCCCAGTCAGCAGGCTCCTGCCCTTCTGCGCCGGCGGCAGGCAGCACGCCCTGCCCCTGGGGACTTTGGCCCTTGGCAGGACCTTAGCCACCGCCCTCCACATTTGGGCTGCTTTAATGAAGTCCTCGGAGGGAGAACACCTTCCTGGAGTTCCTAAAACGCCATGAAGAGCAGTTTATTACTGATGGAGTCAGTATAGCAGAAAGACCATTTTAAGATGATTCTCCCCTCCCTTCCTGCTACCTAGACCTTTAGGAACATTCATTATCTGTTGCTTATATTTTTTGAGGCGCAGAGGATGTATTGAGACCCACCTACTCAAAAATCCCGTAGTTCAGCAATTTACTTCATCATCGTGGCTGTCTTGTGTTTCCGCACTCAGCTCATTACATATTGCACAAATACCCTCTTTTAAAAAAGACTCCTCAAGGTCAGTTCCGCAAATCAAAAAGCAGGAGTCACTACCAACCATGTTCAAAAGCTAAAGCCTTAAAGTACACGTACCTTAATTCTTACGCTGTATATTATGGAAAAGAGAACACAGAATCCATCTCTTGTGAACATGACTTTAGCTACAGCAACAGAGTTCTGCAAGAGCTCCTTTCTCCTCTCACAGCTGAACTGCTTTCTATAGATACAGTCTTTTATTTCAAGCTAGCTGCGTTCTATACTGCAGAAAGATGATCCATCCAAATCTTAAATTAGAAAAGAAGTTCTGGTCTAGTGTTTTTCATACTCAGAAACATACTTGGCCTCCCCCTGAAACAATAAATCATTACATATATTTTTAATAGAGTGTTTAACCATCTCAAATATTGCATATTTATACAGTATCTTTTTCTGTTGTTTTAGTTCTTAAGCTCACAGGGCAATATATTAATGCCCTGTCAGGACCAAAGTCCCCCCAGTTATCTTTGCACAGGAACAACCTCATTGGTTTCAGTATTTTGACTCACTAAGATCTGCTGGAGTTGCCAGAAGGTTTTTTAAATGTTTGCCTTTGCTACATGTTAGAACTAGGTTGTACAGGACCCCTGGGTCTCCTGTTGCTTTTCTTTCATTTGATTGAGTGTAAAAAAATCAGAATATTGATTTCTACTTTCTCTTATTTGCACACAGTAGTCCCATCAAAACCCAGTATTTATGACTTGCAATGCAGTCCAAGCCACAGCTAGTGTTGTGTGTACAGACTGAAATCTCTTTTATATCTAGATTGAATAACTTTCCTTCTACATATATATAAGTACACTAACATACATGTGTGAATATATATATTTGTATGCCCCCCTTAATTCTAAAGGATTATTCAAGTAACTCAATTTTCGTCCAAACTGAAAAAATATTTATACCACAAGACTGACTACAGTCTCCTTCTGAGATTTCTTGGACAAAGTTTTATTATGTATGACTGCAAAGATGTGGTATGATTTAGGGATTTTAACATGCGATAATTGGATACTTATTCTAATCTCCTTGAAACAAAAGACAAGTACTGGAACACAATGAAGGTTCCTACTATACCAAAACTTTAGAATATCTGGTTTTCAAAAAAAACCAAAACAACCTACAAACCAGGACAACCATCAACAAGTCATTTTAACATATTGTAAACTTTTGCCACACCTGTACTGGTTTCAGGATAGTTCTCTGTTCAGGGCAGTGCATTACCTGATGGTAAATACACTTAAGCAACCAAAATATAGTTTAGATGGAATAAGGACAATTAAGATGCAGGAGCATCTGTCATCCGTCACTGGCCAGTCTGGCCTAAACCACAACAGCAAGTCACAAAACCATTGCCTAATTGCTTAGGCAACTCAGAAACTCTTGATACTTGCCCTGCTACATACGAAGTTATCTGAATCCCTCAAATGGTAATACGACCCATATCAAAAGTCAGCGTGACGCAGACAGAGCTGAGTGTCCTCACACATACCCCTAACCCAGTTTACCTAAGGTTGGTGATCAGGTAGCTGCACACCATAAAACTTTTAAGGTAAGCAAGATCAGAAAAATCCCGACATCTGAATTGTCCAGCACAAAGCATGGTGCTCACATCTGCTTCAATTTAGGGACGCTGCTAGAAAGCATATGAGCAACACAAATGGTGGGATCAATTTATTCCACTTATCTTTCAGCGTATAAGGAATTCAAGCACAGAGCACTCTTCCCAGAACCAACTACCTAGCTCCTGTAGGGACACAGATGCTTTTCTCTGTGTACTGAATATAAGTAGGCGCTCTGTACATATCTGCTTAAGACAAGACCATGAGAACAGAATTTGCTTGTGAAGTTTAAGGCCACCAAAAAGTTCCTCTGGCTTACCAGAGGGGGGCAGGGGAAATTCTGACAACTGGGTAAACATAATACACTCACCTATATATTTCATTACAGTTTGTCCATAATGTACTTCATACATTCATCCATCCAGTAGCTCGTGCACTGGTTTTGTACTCATGTACTTAAGTAGCTTACCAAATAGTTTAAGTATCATTCACATGCTTAGTGCTTAACATAAACAAAGGCTCCTTTTCTTTTGACTTTAGCATGGAGGTTACAACCACCTGGCGGCTGTATATGAACTTCTTATAAATATTTTTCTTCAAGATGGCATAACAAGCGACAGGAAAAAATACTTAACCCTTTACTGTCTGACTGTCAACTGCCTCTCAGGGAAGATTCATCACCAAGTTTAAAGTCCTACGTGAAGCCTGCCAGATTCAAAGGGCTCCTAGGGATCTGTTTTACCATTCAATTAAGATCTCTGAACTTGCTTTTAAGAGACTCCTCTACCAGTAACAGAAAATCACATCAGAATTTTCTGTTATGGCAAGAAACTAAGGTGAATTTATTGTCTTCCTATCACAGATGTCACTTAACTGGTATTTGTTCACCTGGTAATGGATAACTCACTCACACAAAATGCATGTCAAGCAGAATCTCTCCTAAATCTCTGACAGTAACTTTTGTAAATGCTTTGGAACAAAAGGTCAGCCGAAAAAAACCAGATGCAACCAATCCTGCCAGACACAATTTCTAGTTAAGAAAACAACAAAAAAACCCAAACTTGTGGAGGTTACTGAGATGAGTTACATCTAATTTATGTTACAATGGTGAAGGTTGTGAGCCAAACAGGAATTTTCACCTTTGCTCGGATGCGAGAAGCTTGTACAGCAGGGCTCACCTCGCCTAACTTCGGACAGGTACCATAGTGACCTACACCTGAACATCCCATGCACTATCCCCAACACTCCTAACTAACAGGCACATCTGGATCATGATTCAGTTGACCTTGTCAGAAACTTGCCTTAGGATGACAAGAACTGAACCCTCATTTCTCTCCACGGATTGCAGAAAGAGCCTCAGCAACCAGCTCCAACATGGATGTTTTTGCAGTGTTTGCATTCAGCAAGACCACTTTCCATGGCATTAATTTTATGATTAACTGACGCTTATGTTCAGAGACAACCATTGCTACAGACACAATTCACTAAACGTGATCCTGCTGGGAGAACTGTGGATAGTGGCAGCCCTAAATGTTACTGTCATGCAGGAAAAGCCTACACCGCTGTTGGTGGTACCCCTGTTCCACAAGATTTCAGGTCTTGGTGTCATCAGTCAAACCTGTTGATCATCACAAAGCACTCACAAATGCTCCCAGTGCTAACAGCCAGAATCTGAACCAGCACTGCATCCCACAAAGAGAGGGAGGATCTCCTTCCCAGGCTGCGACTGGAGCCTTCAATACGTTTAGGGTAGGAAACCATTCCACTAGACACTATGCAATATTAATAAAAATCATTCTACATAGCTTTTTTAAGGTGCCGATCTACTTTGTCTGCTGCTACTCTGCCTCAAGACTCCAGACATATTCAGCTCTTTCATTTACATCTATTTATTGAAGTCAGTGAACTTGTACCTGCAAAACACCATGGTTAATTTGGAGAGAATCGGGACCCTCAGCTCTAATATTATTCATTTTGCTGATTATGCAAGAGGAAGCCATGAAAATTATTACAGCAAAAAGATTTCCCTTGTGGCGAAGTTACGCGTTTGCTCTTTAAATACACTGCAGTGTTTGCATTAGACTTCTGCTTCTGTCTTCACTGCAAAGCCATTTCTCGAGTTAGCCACCTACCGAGAGAAAGCTTGTAACAGTAAAAGGCTGTTTATTGTTTTCCCCGAGTTTGTCATATCATGATGTCATTATTAGAATGAAAACCCAGATGACAATGATTAAAAATATCTGCTACAGCATGCCCTTTAGATGTTTTTCTTCTTAGATACAAACATCACATAGATCTGCAAGTCTATTTTTTGTCCCATACACACACCATCACAGCAGAAACTTCTCCCTTTGGTAGGATTTTTTTCCAGTTTGCATTGGTGGGGTACAACACTATTCTGGGTCAAGTTCTCCACAGAGGCTACTCAGAATGTACTGGACTACTCCAGTAAGGCATTTCACACCAAATGGGGGTTTTTCACAACTTCTTCCTACCCTGTTCAGCCTTCCCAGCTGGGGTCTCTGTGCCAGGTGAGGCTGAGGCACATCAAGCTCCCTTTTTCTCACCTGCACCATACAATACCTGGGTGGTCAGGCTATCCAGCTGCAGGTCACAGATGCAGGACACAGCACCCAGCCATTCTGACCCTCCCAGGGAGCACCAGCCTCCAGCACTACAAACCAGAATGGGGCAAAAAATTAACTACCAACTTCTGCTGAAAATGCAGGTCAACACTGGCATTTCTCTCTCCTGCAGCAATGGATGACAGATGGCAGAGAGTTGGGATGAAACATTCCTCAAGTAGCCACCAAGAAACCCCAGCCTGAGGGCTCTGTCTGTTTCCAGGGCATCGTAAGGAAAGACATCCACAGACTGGGTGAATTTGTCTGGAAACTGGGTGCTATTCCTGATTTTTTTTTTTTACATTGAAAATGGATAGAACATTAAGGTAAGCCCGCAAATGGCAGTGAAGAACTTGGAACTGTTCTTCTTGATATCTTCAGAAAATCCTGTAATTGCACACTTGAAAGTACTGCACAGAAGTCAACTAACACCTTCCCACCTGATGACAAAGAAAACATTCTCCCCCCCTTACTAGTAGGCATATCTAGAAATAGTGTAAGTGGGCAAAATGACCGTTTCCACTCCTGATCAGTAATCTGGGTGATACTGCCGTTTTCCCAAAACCTTTGTGTTAAGACGTGATTCTAAATGCTTGAGAAATAGAACTTTATGTTTCAAAAAAACTGGAGTCCAAGGCACCTGAGCTGCTGGTGAGAAAAACAAATCCAAATGCCTAGTGCTGATGGTGCCAGGCCCCTGCAGAAAGCACATCTAATTCTAACGGAATCAATCACACAACATGGATTTTCCTATTGTGTTCAGTGTAGTTTTTCAATCCTTGACAGTTTAGAGGTTTGCCTTATTTCTTTTTTTTTATTTTATTTTTTTTTACATAAAAGTAGGATGCTAATCTCAAATTAATGGAGTCTAGATTACCAGAATTACCAGCAAGAGTTTCAGGAGTATTTATCCCTTCTCAAAATCTCCAGGCAGACACTAATCCCTGTGCTGCTATTTTACACCTGAAATTGCATTCTGTACTAAACTACAAGCAGAACTCACCGGTTGGCCTTAAGTTGGCATTCTTGTAACCATGGTCAAATCAAAGAGCAACTGATAATGTAAAGCAAATTGTCTTCATCATAGCTCTCCACATACCTTGTCCCTGAACTACTGTTATCTGCATGAAACTGGAGGACACCACACGTAACTCTCAGTTATCAGACCTCAGGTTTGCATTGTTTAAAACAAATACTACCAAGAGCTCCTATAAGTCACGCTGTCCCATGTGAACATCATGGATTTTCTGTCCACGTTCTTGTTATTCACTCATCATCCTCAGCAGCATGAGGGTCAACCTGGATGCTGGCAGGTGATTACAATTTAAGGTGATCCCCACCTAGAGGCTAGGCTTTCAGCCTTCCCCAGCTCTCCAGTCAAAAGGTAATGCTCACTATTCTCTTTCTTAAAAATCTGCCTCCTTCAGTCTCCTCAAACATCACCCCACTAGACGTCACCCGCTCTCTGCTCTTTGCTTACATCAGCAGTATGTTTATTAGCTTTACCTGCACAGCTACTTAAAATTTAATTCTGGTTAATGGTACTGTTTAACACGTGCTCTCCTTATGCAAGGTTAAGAAGCTGCAGAGAAATGCAGGGCATAATTATTGTGTCACAACCAAGTTTTGCCCGTGCCTTAAAACCAGTTTGCTGCGCCAGAAGGGGAACAACGCAACCAGCTCCCCATGGGATGCACCAGCATCTGACACTGCTGCCAGCTGCACCGGAACCACCGACACATAAGAAGTTAGACAACTGCAGGAAGAGCCCACACTGGCCCCTCTTTGAACTGAGGTTTTATACAGAATGGTTAGAGCTGGAAGGGACCTTAAAGATCATCTAGTTCCAACCCCCCTGCCATGGGCAGGGACACCTCCCACTACAGCAGGTTGCCCAAAGCCCCATCCAGCCTGGCATTGAACACCTCCAGGGATGGGGCAGCCACAGCTTCTCTGGGCAATCTGTTCCAGTGCCTCACCACCCTCACAGGAAAGAATTTCTTTCTGGTATCTAATCTAAATCTCCCCTCTTCCAGTTTAAAACCGTTGGCCCTTGTCCTGTCCCTACACTTCCTGACAAAGAGTCCCTCCCCAGCTCTCCTGTAGCTCCCTTCAGATATTGGAAGGCTGCTCTAAGGTCTCCCCGGAGCCTTCTCTTCTCCAGGCTGAACAACCCCAGCTCTCCAACCTGTCTTCATAGGGGAGGTGCTCCATCCCTCTGAGCATCTTCATGGCCCTCCGTTGGACCCGTTCCAACAGGACCATGTCCTTCCTGTGTTGAGGACTCCAGAGCTGGACAGTACCCCAGGTGGGGTCTCACGAGCGCAGAGGGATAAAATATCTTGTGAGTACTGCCCGAGTCAAAAATCAACGCAAACTTCAGAAAGAGAACAACCCTAGAGTAATTAGAGCAGGCATTGCTGTCGTTGATTGCGAGGCCGCGTTACACCCTCCCGTGCAGAAGCGTGCCAGAAACCCCCCGCAGGAAAACGTTTGCGTGATGCTGTGATCCCAGCAAACATCTACCAGGAAGGGCACAAACCCCGCACACTCACATGACTCCACGTCCGCACGGCACCGTGTCGGGGGGGGGGGGGTCCCTGTCCGGCTGCCGGGCCCGGGCCCCCCCCCCCCCGCCCCCCTCCCC